TAAACCAGGGTTTCCACAGCCCCCTTCTTGGGTTCAATTAATTTGCTAGAAAGGCTCATGAAACTCAGCCAAACCTTTACATTTGTCATTTTATTATAAAGAATACAGATGAACAGCCAGATGAAGCAGCATGTAGGGCCAGGTCTGGAAGGATCCCAAGCACAAGAGCTTCTGTCCCAGTGAAACTGGCGGGAGGGGTGCAGTGCCCTCCCAGCTTGTGGATGCATTTACTGGAAGCTCCTCAAATCTTGTTGTTCAATAGTTTTTAGAGAGCTTGATCTCCAGCACCTTCCTCCACCCAGAGGTCAGTGGATAGAGCTGAAAGTTCCAAACCTCTAATCCTCAAATGCCCTGGTCTTTCTGGTGACTAGCCCCATCATAAGAATATATGTAGGGCCCCACATTAAGTAACCTCATTAGCATAAACTCAGGAGTTATCGAAAGGGCTCATTATGACTAATGAGATACTCCTACCACTCAGGAAATTCTAGAGGTTTGGGGAACTCTATGACAAGAAATGAGACAAAGACCAAGTATACATATTTCATATTATACCACAATGGCAGATATTAACTGTATTTTAGCCTGGCTCATCTGGCCTATCTGCCTGCAAGAAGGCAGCAAGGCAGCTCCTAGCTATAGTTTCAGCAGCTACACCTCACAACCCCTACACCATTAAATGGTCCCCATTTATTGTGCTTTTGTTGAGCACATAACTAAACCTCCTGTTTCCTAAAACTGGCTTAAGATATATTTTGCTGGTGAATACAAAATCAGAAAAACTGCACAAACAGATTGGTAGAGATAAGTTACGTGCCGCATAGCCAAGAGGGGTGCACACCGAGGAAAAAATCGTCAAAGCTGACAATCTGGAAAGCCTTCAAAACCGTTCTTTTCGCCAGGCGTGGTGGCTCACGCCTGTAATCCCAGCACTTTGGGAGGCTGAGGCGGGTGGATCACGATGTCAAGAGATCGAGACCATCCTGGTCAACATGGTGAAAACCCGTCTCTACTAAAAATACAAAAAATTAGCTGGGCATGGTGGCGCGTGCCTGTAATCCCAGCTACTCAGGAGGCTGAGGCAGGAGAATTGCCTGAATCCAGGAGGCGGAGGTTGCGGTGAGCCGAGATCGCGCCATTGCACTCTAGCCTGGGTAACAAGAGCGAAACCCTGTCTCAAAAAAAAAAAAAAAAAAAAAAAAAAAAAACCCCCCTTAAAAAAAAAAAAAAAAAAAAAAAAAAAAACCGTTCTTTTCCTAAGCATAGTATTCAGCCGTGTCCTCTTTAACCCATATGTATCAGGTCACCAGTATTGGAACCTCAATGCCACAAATAAGCAGCATGAAAGATAAAGCCATTAATGCAGGGGTATCCAATCTTTTGGCTTGCCTGGGTCACACTGGAAGAAGAATTGTTGTAGGCCACACATAGAATATACTAACAATACAATAGCTGATGAGCTAAGAAAAAGAAAATCACAGAAAAAAATCTCAATTTTTTTAAAAGTTTACAAAATTGTGTTGAGCTGCATGTAAAGCCGTCCCGGGCTGCAGGCGGGACAAGTTTGCACTAATAGGTTAGCATATTACATAAGATAAGCTCAGAAAATAAATGTCAGCTATGTGTCTCACTGTGTATTAGGCATGCTGAGATGATAACATAACAAGAAGTTGCTCCTGGAGACTTGGGGCAGCATGCTTTCATTGAAAGTGGCGTCTCTTTCAATTAAAGTGACAAGCTACTCACCCTTTAACATATCCCACACTGCCACACCTGTGTACAAATAGGGAGCCACCAGTTTTTGATATGCTGCTTGGTGGTATCACCTTCTAAAAATAATTATTCTCAAATGCAAATTCATATGATGTTATATTCCAAAGGACCTGTTTACATAACATCTTGAATAACTGTCATTATTTCAAGATTCTTATCTTGAACTTTTCTGATTAACTCATAAGTTACCTAGAAATAATTTTAATATGCAACATATAAAACCTAAGTGAATAAATTATTTCATTGTATTGAGATTTGACTGGAGATTTACCATGTTCCTGAATGAGAAGAATGGATGTTGTAAACTTGCCATTCTGACCAAATTAACTGATAGTCCTAATATAATTAAAATTAATATTTTAAGAAATTAAAAAATAGTTATAAACAGCATCTGAAAGAACAAATATGTAGGCAGTATGTTTAAGAAACTTTTGGCCGGGTGCAGTGGCTCACCCCTGTAATTCTAGCACTTTGGGAGGCCAAGGGGGGCAGATCACGAGGTCAGGAGATTGAGACCATCTTGGCCAACATGGTGAAACCCCGTCTCTACTAAACTACAAATAATTAACCAGGTGTGGTGGTGTGTGCCTGTAGTCCCAGCTACTCAGGAGGCTAAGGCAGGGGAATCGCCTAAACCCAGGAAGCAGAGGTTGCAGTGAGCCAAGATTGTACCACTGCACTCTAGCCTGGCAACAGAGCAAGA